GCACCTTGGTGATGGGTACCTTGATATTGGTGATGGAGGCACCTTGATGTTGGTTATGGATGCACCTTGATGTTGGTAATGGAGGCACCTTGATGGTGAGGGGGCACCTTGATGTTGGTGATGGAGGCACCTTGATGGTGATGGTGGTACCTTGATGTTGGTGGTGGAGGTACCTTGATGTTGGTGATGGAGGTACCTTGATGGTGATGGAGGTACCTTGATGGTGATGGAGGCACTTTGGTGGTGATGGAGGCACCTTGATGGTGATTGAGGCACCTTGATGTTGGTGATGGATGCACCTTGATGTTGGTGATGGAGGCACCTTGATGGTGATGGAGGTACCTTGATGTTGGTGATGGAGGCACCTTTATGGCGATGGAGGCACCTTATGTTGGTGATGGAGTTACCTTGATGTTGGCGATGGAGGCACCTTGATGGTGATAGGTTGCCTTGATGTTGGTGATGGAGGTACCTTGATGTTTGTGATGGAGGTACCTTGATGGTGATGGAGGTATCTTGATATTGGTGATGGAGATACCTTGATGTTGGTGATGGAGGCACCTTGATGGTGATGGGGGTATCTTGATGTTGGTGAGGAAGGCACCTTGATGATGATAGGGTTACCTTGAATTTGGTGATGGAGGAACCTTGATGTTTGTAATGGAGGTACCTTGATCGTGATGGAGGCACCTTGATGTTGGTGATGGAGGCACCTTGATGGTGATGGGGGTACCTTGATGTTGGTGATGGAGGCCCCTTGATGGTGATGGGGTACCTTGATGTTGGTGATGGAGGCACCTTGATGGTGATAGAGGTACCTTGATGTTGGTGATGGAGGCACCTTGGTGATGGGTACCTTGATATTGGTGATGGAGGCACCTTGATGTTGGTTATGGATGCACCTTGATGTTGGTAATGGAGGCACCTTGATGGTGAGGGGGCACCTTGATGTTGGTTATGGAGGCACCTTGATGGTGATGGGGCACCTTGATGTTGATTATGGAGGCACCTTGATGTTGGTGATGGAGGCACCTTGATGGTGATGGAGGTACCTTGATGTTGGTGATGGAGGCACCTTGATGTTGGTGATGGAGGCGTCTTGATGGTGGAGGCACCTTGATGGTGATTGAGGTACCTTGATGTTGGTGATGGATGCACCTTGATGTTGGTGATGGAGGCACCTTGATGGTGATGGAGGTACCTTGATGTTGGTGATGGAGGCACCTTGATGGCGATGGAGGCACCTTGATGTTGGTGATGGAGGCACCTTGATGGAGATGGAGGCACCTTGATGTTGGTGATGGAGGCACCTTGATGTTGGTGGAGGCACCTTGATGTTGGTGATGGATGCACCTTGATGTTGGTGATGGATGCACCTTGATGTTGGTGATGGAGGTACCTTTATGTTGGTGATGGATGCACCTTGATGTTGTTGATGGATGCACCTTTATGTTGGTGATGGATGCATCTTGATATTGGTGATGGATGCACCTTGATGTTGGTGATGGAGGTACCTTGATGTTGGTGATGGATGCACTTTGATGTTGGTGATGGAGGTACCTTGATGTTGGTGATGGAGGTACCTTGATGTTTGTGGTGGAGGTACCTTGATGTTGGTGATTGAGGTACCTTGATGTTGGTGGTGGAGGCACCTTGATGTTGGTGATGGAGGTACCTTGATGTTGGTGATGGAGGTACCTTGATGTTGGTGGTGGAGGTACCTTGATGTTGGTGATGGAGGTACCTTGATGTTGGTGGTGGAGGCACCTTGATGTTGGTGATGGAGGTACCTTGATGTTGGTGATGGAGGTACCTTGATGTTGGTGGTGGAGGTACCTTGATGTTGGTGATGGAGGTACCTTGATGTTGGTGGTGGAGGTACCTTGATGTTGGTGATGGAGGTACCTTGATGTTGGTGGTGGAGATACCTTGATGTTGGTGATAGAGGATGTTGATTCTTGAGACTGGGTTTGCCATCCCAGATGAGCCTTGATGTTCACCAAGGGTTCTTGATTCAAGGAACTGGAGCTGTGCTCAGCTTCCTGGAATGTCTTCAGTAATAATAACAATAATAATAATAATAATAATAATAATAATAGTTAATATAATACAAATAATATATAATAATAACAATAATAATAATAATATAAATAATAATAATAATAATAATAAAATAATAATTATAATTAATAATAATATAATAATAATAATATATAATAATAATTAATAATAATAATAACAATAATAATAATAATAATAATAATAATAATAATAATAACAATAATAATAATAATAATAATAACAATAATAATAATAATAATAATAAATAATAATAATATAATAAAATAATAATAATAATAATAATAATAATAATAATAACAATATATAATAATAATAATAATAAAATAATATATAATAATAATTAATAATAAAATAAATAATAATAATAATAAATAATAATAATAATAATAACTAATAATAATAATAATAATAATAATATAATAATAATAATATAATATATGGTAAGATCACTTTCTGTTAGGAATTGAAATCTCTGGCTGTTTCTGTCTCTCACTCACTCTTATCTCTCACTCACTCCTCTCTACTCACTCTCTCACTCACTCTATCTCTCACTATCCTCACTACCTCTATACTACTCAATCTCCACTCACTCATTCTTATCTCTCACTCTCTCACTCACTCATTCTCTCACTACTCACTCACTCTCACTCACTTACTTATCTCTCACTCATTCTCATCACTCACATCTATCTCTCACTCACTCACTCTCTCACTCATTTACTCTCACTCACTACTATTCTCTCACTCCTCACTCTCTCACTCATCTCTATCTCTCATCACTCTCCACTCACTCTCTCACTCACTCCTCACTCTCTCACTCATCACTCTCTCACTCTCTCACTCTCTCACTCTCTCACCACTCGCTCACTCACTCCTCACTCTCTCACTCCTCACTCACTCTCTACTCACTCACTCCTCACTCACTCTCACTCATCCTCACTCTCTCACTCACTCTCTCTCACTCTCTCACTCATTCACATCACTCACTCTCTCCTCACTCTCTCACTCTCTCTCACTCTCTCACTCTCTCACTCACCACTCTCTCACTCTCTCACTCCTCACTCTCTCACTCATCACTCACTCTCTCGCTCACTCTCTCACTCCTCACTCTACTCACTCACTCTCTCACTCTCATCACTCTCTCACTCTCTCACTCTTTCACTTCACTACTCTCACTCTCCTCACTCTCTCACTCTCTCACCTCCTCACTCACTCATCTCTCTCACTCTCCACTCTCCTCCATCTCACTCTCACCTCACTCTCTCACATCTCCACATCTCACTCACTCTCTCTCACTCACTCTCTCACGACTCACTCACTCTCTCCTCTCTCACTCTTCCTCACTCTCTCACTCTCACTCACTCCTCACTCTCTCACTCCTCTCTCACTCTCTCACCTCTCACTCATCTCACTCTCACTCTCACTCTCACTCACTCTCTCACTCTCATTCTCTCTCTCACCACTCACTCTCTCACTCCTCTCTCACTCTCTCACTCTCTCACTCTCTCACTCTCTCACTCTTTCACTCTCTCACTCTCTCACTCTCTCACTCTCACTCTCTCACTCTCTCACTCTCTCACTCACTCTCTCACTCCACTCACTCCTCACTCACTCTCTCACTCACTCCTCTCACTCACTCTCTCACTCTCTCACTCCCTCACTCTCTCACTCTCTCACTCTCTCACCTCTTTCACTCACTCATCTCTCCTCACTCTCTCACTCTCTCACTCTCTCACTCTCTCACTCTCTCACTCCTCACTCACTCTCTCACTCTCTCACTCTCTCACTCTCTCACTCTCTCCACTCACTCTCTCACTCACTCTCTCACATCTCACTCTCTCTCTCACTCTCTCACTCACTCCTCACTCACTCTCTCTCACTCTCACTCCTCTCTCACTCACTCTCTCACTCTCTCACTCTCACTCTCTCACTCTCTCACTCACTCTCTCACCCTCACTCTCTCACTCACTCTCTCACTTCTCACTCTCTCTCTCACTCACTCTCTCACTCTCTCTCTCACTCTCTCACTCTCTCTCACTTCTCACTCTCTCACTCTTCACTCTCTCACTCTCTCACTCTCTCACTCACCTCTCACTCTCTCACTCTCTCACTCACTCTCTCACTCTCTCACTCTCTCACTCACTCTCTCACTCACTCACTCTCTCACTCTCTCACTCTCTCACTCTCTCACTCACTCTCTCACTCTCTCACTCACTCACTCACTCTCTACTCATCTCACTCTCTCATCTCTCACTCACTCTCTCACTCTCACTCACTCTCTCACTCTCTCACTCCTCTCTCACTCACTCTCTCACTCTCTCACTCTCTCACTCCCACTCATCACCTCTCACTCTCTCACTCTTTCACCTCACTTCTCACCACCTCACTCTTACTCACTCTCTCGCTCTCTCTCTCACTCACTCTCGTCACTCTCTCACATCTTCACATCTCTCACTCTCACTTCCCTCACTCTCTCACTATCTCACTCACTCTCTCACTCACTCTCTCTCCATTCACTCTCTCACTCTCTCACTCTTCACTCACTCTCTCACACTCTCACCTCTCACTCACTCATCTCACTCTCTCATCTCTCACTCTCTCACTCTCTCACTCTCTCACTCTCTCACTCTCTCACTCTCTCACTCTGGACAACAATGACGTACACTCAAGGTACTCCACAGTCAAAGGTGACCAACCAGGACCCCTGACGTGTCTTGCAGGTCGGCCATCTTGCCTCCTGGGATCCTCACCAGCCAATCACAACCCGCCCTCTTGTTTCCCCCGAGGCGTATCGCCTCCGCTATTGGTCGGCGGGTCGGCTGAGCCGTAGTTCCCGACATCAACCTTGTGACTCACGCCGGTAGATGGCGCAGGTGAGGGGGTCGACCTTTTCGGGTGCGGAAATACTGGTTCAGTTACACCCTGGCTGTGATAGGGGGAGGTTGTGTCGCCTCCTGCTCCACCCTCTCACTTGGCAACCCAATTCCTGCCCAAAATTGGTTGAATTTCCCTAAATTGGTCGTTTTTAAGGGGGTTGTGGACGGTAATGAGGCGAGAGGGAGGTGGATTGCCGGAGTTGATGTGAAACCCGTTAGCGGAGGTTTAATTTCCCGTGTAGCGGAGGTTTAGAACCTCCCTGGACCAACTGGTAGATCAACCAGGTTGTTGGTGGATCATGCGGCACAAGGAGGGTTGCTCAGCGCCTCCCGCAGGCATGATCAAGGTCCGCAAAGCCTCCTACTACGTGTGGTTCCTGGGCGCGGAGGAATGCCGCGGCTTGCGGGGCGCGGAATGCGTGCGTCCTGTCGTCCAGTACCTAATTAACCGCGAGAGGACGCAGGAACCTGACAAGGTGACGCTTCAGGTGTCCAGCAGGGGTATTAAGCTCCTGCAGACGAGCAGCGGCAGTAGGAACACCATCAAACACTTTATGCCTGCGTCAGCAGTCACCTACGTCCAGCAGGAAGGTCCTGCTGACGATGACATAGTGTCAGCCATCCTGCTGATCTATAATCCGCTGACTAGGTGCCCGGTTCATGTACATACTTACCGCTGCGACTCGACGGAGACCGCAGGGCTCCTGCGTGACCATCTGGCGCAGCTGGTGGAGCAGCCGGAGCAGCAGGCTAAGCTTGCGGCTTTGGAGGCACGGCTGGCCGCACGTGGGCTCCTCCCGCCGCCGTCAGCGGTCAGCCGTGCCTCTGACGGCGCATCAACGGGGTCATCCGCATCTTCCGGCGGCGGGGGAAGCTGCGGTCGGTCGCCTCCTGCGGTTCCCGCGGCTGCGGGAACCGCAATGGCCACACTTTACGACTCACTAGCGGCAGAGCTGCGGGAGAAGCTTAGCGGCAGGGGGGCGCCGCTCCTTTTGCCCCCCAAGGACTACGACACCTTCAACCGCAGCCGCGGGCGGGTACCCGATACCCGCAGCCGCCCACAGCCGCCCGCAGCCGCCCGCAAGTCGCAAGAAGATGATTCCGCCAGGTCGTCAGGGATCGGTAGCGATGACGCGCCCTCCCCTACCCAGGACCGGGAGCTAGAGCCTGTCGATAACCAGTCATCCTCAGGTCAGTAATCTTCCATACTCGGTGAAGGGTGCTTGATCCAAGGGTTTGGAGCCACTGTAAATCAATATTAATGTGAAATGGCAAGCTGATAAAAGTTATGCACTCTGACAGTTAAATCTTACTGTTACTTTCTAATATTTAAGTAACTTAACCTGTATGTAGGTTAATAAGCCTTCTGTAGTAGATAGACTTGAAACCTCACGAAATAGCCTACTGGTAGGTACAATAATATAATAATAATAATAATAATATAATTATTATTATTATTATTTCTACCAGTAGATGGTACAACTTATACAGACCATAGCTCACAACAATGACATACTATATAGAAAGTTCCTGGTTATATAGAGCATTATCACAACTTAGGTTATTTTGTCCCAGGATGCACCACACCAGTCACTAACACCAGTACCTATTATGCTAGGTACATCACAGCAGGATGTAACTATACACCAGGTACCTACTGACTGCAGTGAACATGACAGCAGGTACTAACAAAGTTACCTGACTAACTGCTAGAGATCCGACAACAGGTGTAATTACACCCAGTACCTATGATGCTGGTGAACCACTGACAGCAGTAACTAACACCCAGGTACCTACTTACTGCTAGGTGAACACTGACAGCAGTGTAAGGTGACTAACACCCAGGTACCTACTGACTGCTAGGTGAACACTGACAGCAGGTGTAACTAACACCCAGGTACTTACTGACTGCTAGGTGAACACTGACAGCAGGTGTAACTAACACCCAGGTACCTACTTACTGCTAGGTGAACACTGACAGCAGGTGTAACTAACACCCAGGTACCTACTGACTGCTAGGTGAATACTGACAGAAGCTGTAACTAACACCCAGGTACCTACTTACTGCTAGGTGAACACTGACAGCAGCTGTAACTAACACCCAAGTACCTACTTACTGCTAGGTGAACACTGACAGCAGCTGTAATTAACACCCAGGTACCTACTTACTGCTAGGTGGACACTGACAGCAGCTGTAACTAACACCCAGGTACCTACTTACTGCTAGGTGAACACTGACAGCAGCTGTAACTAACACCCAGGTACCTACTTACTGCTAGGTGAACACTGACAGCAGGTGTAACTAACACCCAGGTACCTACTTACTGCTAGGTGAACACTGACAGCAAGTGTAAGGTGACTAACACCCAGGTACCTACTTACTGCTAGGTGAACACTGACAGCAGGTGTAACTAACACCCAGGTACCTACTTACTGCTAGGTGAACACTGACAGCAAGTGTACGGTAACTAACACCCAGGTACCTACTTACTGCTAGGTGAACACTGACAGCAAGTGTAAGGTAACTAACACCCAGGCACCTACTTACTGCTAGGTGAACACTGACAGCAGCTGTAACTAACACCCAGGTACCTACTTACTGCTAGGTGAACACTGACAGCAGGTGTAACTAACACCCAGGTACCTACTTACTGCTAGGTGAACACTGACAGCAGGTGTAAGGTGACTAACACCCAGGTACCTACTTACTGCTAGGTGAACACTGACAGCAGGTGTAACTAACACCCAGGTACCTTCTTACTGCTAGGTGAACACTGACAGCAAGTGTAAGGTAACTAACACCCAGGTACCTACTTACTGCTAGGTGAACACTGACAGCAGGTGTAAGGTGACTAACACCCAGGTACCTTCTTACTGCTAGGTGAACACTGACAGCAGGTGTAAGGTAACTAACACCCAGGTACCTACTTACTGCCAGGTGAACACTGACAGCAGGTGTCTTAAGGAAACACGTCCTAATGTTCTTACCCTTCCTGGGGATCGAACCTGAATGCGCTACCAACCCAGCTGCGGGTCACCTAATGCTCCGAGTACATCTTAGGTTGAGTACCCACAGGATTGAAATGTTCTCTACAAATGAGTACAGAGAGGACATAACCTAACCTAACCTAACCTAGCCTAACCTAACCTAACCTAGCCTAACTTAACCTAATTTAACCTAGCCTACCTTAACCTAGCCTAACTTAACCTAACCTAACCTAACCTAACTTAACCTAACTTAACCTAGCCTAACTTAACCTAACCTAACTTTACCTAACGTAACTTAACCTAGCCTAACTTAACCTAACCTAACCTCACCTAACTTAACCTAACTTAACCTAACTTAACCTAGCCTAACTTAACCTAACCTAACTTTACCTAACGTAACTTAACCTAGCCTAACGTAACCTAACTTAACCTAGCCTAACCTAACCTAACCTAACCTAACCTAACCTAACCTAACCTAGCCTAACTTAACCTAACCTAACTTAACCTAGCCTAACTTAACCTAGCCTAACTTAACCTAGCTTAACTTAACCTAACCTAACCTAACTAACCTAACCTAACTTAACGTAACTTAACCTAACCTAACTTAACCTAGCCTAACGTAACCTAACTTAACCTAGCCTAACTTAACCTAACCTAACTTAACCTAGCCTAACGTAACCTAACTTAACCTAGCCTAACTTAACCTAGCCTAACTTAACTAGCCTAACGTAACCTAACTTAACCTAGCCTAACTTAACCTAACCTAACTTTACCTAACGTAACTTAACCTAGCCTAACGTAACCTAACTTAACCTAGCCTAACTTAACCTAGCCTAACTTAACCTAGCCTAACGTAACCTAACTTAACCTAGCCTAACTTAACCTAACCTAACTTTACCTAACGTAACTTAACCTAGCCTAACGTAACCTAACTTAACCTAGCCTACATCTCTGTCTGTCCTTCTACAAAGTCAGGGAAAACGGGGTCCCAAGAGGAATTCAAGGAATCCCATGGAAATCAAGGACCCCATTTAAAAATAAAGGACTCTGGTGGAAAGAAAGTACCCAACAGATATCAAGGACCCAATTAAAATCAAGGACACCAGTGAAAAATCAAAGGACCCCAATGGAAATCAAGGACCCCAATGGAAATCAAAGATCCCAATGAAAATCAAGGATCCCAATGGAAATCAAAGATCCCAATGGAAATCAAAGATCCCAATGGAAATCAAAGATCCCAATGGAAATCAAAGATTCCAATGGAAATCAAAGATCCCAATGAAATCAAAGATCCCAATGGGAAAACAAAGGATCCCAATGGAAATCAAAGATCCAATGAAATCAAAGATCCCAATGGAAATCAAAGATCCCAATGGAAATCAAAGATCCCCCAAAGGAAATCAAAGATCCCAATGGAAATCAAAGATCCAATGAAATCAAAGATCCAATGAATCAAAGATCCCAATGGAAATCAAAGATCCCAATGGAAATCAAAGATCCCAATGGAAATCAAAGATCCCAATGGAAATCAAAGATCCCAATGGAAATCAAAGATCCCAATGGAATCAAGATCCCAATGGAAATCAAAGATCCCAATGGAAATCAAAGATCCCAATGGAAATCAAAGATCCCAATGGAAATCAAAGATCCCAATGGAAATCAAAGATCCCAATGAAAATCAAGGATCCCAATGGAAATCAAAGATCCCAATGAAAATCAAAGATCCCAATGAAAATCAAGGATCCCAATGGAAATCAAAGATCCCAGTTAGCAATGTCACCTCGACTTCTATTGTTCCCAGATGAGTAATTGACAAACTTTATCAAATGTACGATAACCCATGTAATCGTATTTTTGTGCGCCTGTACCTCAATAAACCTACAAAGGCACAAGTCCTACAAAGGCACAAGTTCAAGACCACGTAGTGAACCTCCAGAACAAAGGTTGTGTTGTTCACTAGTGACATCATGACGCCATCAAGAGAGACAGAGCTTTTGTGGCGCAGACTTCTCTTCAGGCGAGGCGCTGCCACTCTGCGAGAGATGAGATGGTATTGTCGAAGTGGCTAGTTTGTGTACCTCGTATCATGTGGATGGTAGTGGCTAGTTTGTGTACCTCGTATCATGTGGATGGTAGTGGCTAGTTTGTTGTGTACCTCGTATCATGTGGATGGTAGTGGCTAGTTTGTGTACCTCGTATCATGTGGATGGTAGTGGCTAGTTTGTTGTGTACCTCGTATCATGTGGATGGTAGTGGCTAGTTTGTGTACCTCGTATCATGTGGATGGTAGTGGCTAGTTTGTGTACCTCGTATCATGTGGATGGTAGTGGCTTAGTTTGTGTTTGGTTGTACCTCGTATCATGGGAATGGTATGGGCTAGTTTGTGTACCTCGTATCATGTGGATGTAGTGGCTAGTTTTGTTGTTACCTCCGTATCATGTGGATGGTAGTGGCTAGTTTTTGTGTACCTCCGTATCATTGGATGGTAGTGTCTAGTTTGTGTACTTCGTATCAAGTGATGGTAAGGGCTAGTTTGTGTACTTCGATCATGGTGGATGGTAATGGCTAGTCGTTCTGTGTTTATTTTTGTGTACCTCGTAATCTATGGTGGATGGTATGTGATTATGGGCTAGTTTGTGTACCTCGTACATGTGGATGGTAGTGGCTAGTTTATTGTGTACCTCGTATCATGTGGATGGTAGTGGCTAGTTTGTGTACCTCGTATCATGTGGATGGTAGTGGCTAGTTTGTTGTGTACCTCGTATCATGTGGATGGTAGTGGCTATTTTGTTTGTGTAACCTCGTATCATAGGAGTTGTAGTGGCTAGTTTTTGTTGTGTCCCTCGTACATGTGGATGGTAAGTGGCTAGATTTGTTGTGTACCCCGTATCAGTGTGATGGGTAGTGGCTAGTCTTGTGTACCTCGTATCATGTGGATGGTAGTGGCTATTTTGTTGTACCTCGTAAACATGTGTATGGTAGTGGCTAGTTTGTTACCTCGTATCTGTGGTGATGGGTAGTGGCTAGTTTGTGTACCTCGTAATCATGTGGATTGTAAGTGCAGTTTGGTTTACTCTCGTATCAGTGGATGTTATGGCTAGTTTATAGTGTACCTCGTATCACGTGATAATATGGCTAGTTTTGTGTACCTCGTATCATGTTGATGGTAGTGGCTAGTTTGTTGTATACCTTTCGTATGCATGTGGAATGG